CACCCTTCCCTTAGTTCAGCGGGTCTCGCCCTTCAGTACTGTGATGTTGGTTGTAAAAGTGTACTGTGCTCACTCGGCTTCGTATATATAGTGCCGCTTCAAATTCCAATTTCATGAGACTTTCGCCGAACTTTATAGCAACTCAGTAAATCAACTTGTCAAACAGTGATTTTCATTTATTATTTATCATTTAAATGAAAGCCACTAATATTTCAGTTCAATCATTATTATAGTTTTGGTTTTTTTTGTTTCTTTAGCATTAATATGCTTTTATGCAGACTGCAGCAAAATTCAGGTTGACCCCGGAAGTGCAGATGACGAAGGTGCGACGGAATTCAGAAAGAAGGATTAGTATGTGAGAAAAGACAAGAGTGACATAAGACGTTTCGGTCCATTAAGTCATATACGTTTTACTTTGTCAGTATGTTTTGGACATGATAGCAGTCGGTAAGGTACCTAAGCCTCGTTGTGATCGTTCAGTACATACCAGTGATATCCTGGAATGGCTAAAATTAATTCGGTGCTTTTACTGGGAAAATCGTTGAGCTGGTGATTCCTTTGAGAGACAAAATACCTACGAACTGTTCACCGGCTGGTATACAGCATTAGTCAAAGCAACTGTGAAAATTGTCACCTACGTAGCTGAAAACCATCTTGAGAGTAGCAACTATTCAGAGTCATAGTTTTGTCAATTTTTTTCGGAAAAATCGACGTGTGAGAATGTTCGGAAAAGGCTGAAAACAACTATATTGAAACTGAAAGTCCAAGAATTGTGTGTGGATGCCCCGGTTCGGCGTACAAACGGTCTCTTCAGCTCCAGTTGGTGGTATGCCAAAATTACGCCTGGAAAGTGAATCCAATTTTACTGATGCAACTGCGCTGATTCCACAAGTCGCGCATTGCTGTGCCAAGACTCATCGAACCTGAACTCTAATGCCTCCAGTTAGTACCGTACCCCTGTGTGCAGCATGTGCGCTACCTATTCGTAAGAAAATGACGTAAAAATTGATTGTTTTAATCTATTTGCGAAGTTTGTTTTGAGACTTTGAACAGTTGTGACTTATGATATTTTTTTCAGCTACGTAGTTAGAAGATTTCCCAATTTGCTTTAGCTAATGCTGTATCACCGGTGGTCGTTTTTTTTTTTTTTTTTGGCAATTCTGGTGTTTGTTTTGTTTTTTTTTTTAAGGAATTAATCGGCTTAATGGTTCTTCTAAGAAAAATAACTGGCAAAGCGTTGGGTGTTTCCAAATCGTTCGCCATGTCACTGAAAAACATTGCTAGCCTAACGGTTAGCAGTACCTCAGCCGCTTTGCGATATCCATAGTGGATGCAGGGTACCATCAAGTTACTCCAACCAATGCAATCCGGAGGCAAGAGAAGCTGTACTATTGTAAACTCGCTATTTGAAAAAATGTACAAAATTTGAAACTTGACAACTAGATTTCAGAGTTCTCTGTTCGCGTATGCTTAAATTTGCGGTACAAAATGAGACCAGAAAAGTTATAATTACAATCCAGGAATTTGTCTTTAGCGAGTTGTCTTGCTTCGGTTATATTTATGCTTTAATATTTTGATCAGCTCTTGTTTCATCGTCGCATTTCTTGCTACTGACGCAGCTAGCGATTGCTTCGTTTTTCTTTACCCTATCTCAGCCACATAATTTCATACTAGCATTCAAGCTTGTTGTTGCACCTCCATTGCTGTGTAGGTTAAAACTCGAGCCTTCCCCGTTTTCGTCCCCTATTAGAAGAAGAAGACTCAGAGGCAGATCGAATACAACCAAGTGCTGGAAAGGCTGTGGTTTACTCCAACTTAAAAGTTTCTTAGAGGCAATCTCTTGGCATATTTGACTCTTCAGCACAAAGATAATACTAATTTATCACCGAAAACGAATCTATGAATTGTTGGGTGATTGTTTTCAACTGGCGGTGTCGATCCTCAAACCTTCCGTGCCATAGCAGTGGTACAATTCAATGATCCCCTTTTCCGATCTGTTGTTTCATTCTTGCCGCATAACCAGCCAATTGGTCCCTAACATGCATTGCCTTGATAATATAGCTGCTTCGGAAAATAACTCAAATTTTTTATTAGGAAAGGAAAACTCTACTCTACACAATCAATCCAAATGTGGCTAGATTTTACAATATAGCTGTCCAGGGCAATTTTCGTCAAACATTTATTAGACTTAAAGCTTATTTGAAAATTTATATTTGGAAAAGTATTTGTCTCCTACATTCAAAAACGATTTATCGCGAAAAAACATCCATTAATGAGGCTTAAAAAAGGCTGCAAAAAATATATAAAAGATTGTTTCAGAATGGTGCAACTGAAACTTCCATTCGCAACGCTTGCATCACTGCTTTTGATACTACCCGAATCATGCAGCATTTTTGATCCAGCTTTACGAAGGGATGTTTCCGATATCCCATCCGTCATGGATCAGCGGACGTTCCTGAAAACGCGGCGATTGAAACGAGCATGTTTGGGCGGTATGTGTGGTGGGGCCAGTCTGCTGCACGGGATTGCATCTCATGCAGCGAATCTTATATCGATGGCGCTACCTCCTCCTCCATTTCCTGAACCAATGTTTCGCCGACGAAGAAAGCGACAGTTTGGATGCTGCATGTATGCTCCGAGCTTTACATATATTAAATAAAGTAAGAAAAAGGAAAGTGTGTAAGCACTGCTGACAGATGAATTTGGGATGGTGTACAATTCCGTGTACTGTTAGTTGTTATTTGTAGCATGCTTCATCTGTGCAGCATCTCCAGACAGATGAACATGGCAAGGCTTTAGGCATCTCGATATGTCCTTGATAGATACTGAGCAACACTTACCCCAAGTGCTGCTATTCTTAGACCACAATGAGGTACTTTATCAGCTGGAGGGCACAGTCTATGCGTTCGAAAATAGAATTTTCTTGTTTTAAACATGCGGCTCATGAGTTACGCCAAAATTCGGGTTTTAACTGCTCTCTTCTGAACTTGTTGCTCAGAAATTTTGTCTGCCTATAAGCTGCAGTTTAGAACGTAGAAAAGCTAAAGAATTGTCTTTAAGTAATTATTTTCGAATAATACTGCTTCTTTCATAATGTAACAACATGATTCATTTAATAAGCTACCAGGAATGCCAGTGCTGTTCAATCTCGCATGTTAGTTTTTATGCGTTTTTTTGCAGCTATGCAATGCGAAAAACGCATATTGACGAGAGGTTGTCTGTGTGTGT